AAAAGCCACTGAAGCCTGTTAGGTTTGGGCTTCTTAGGACACTTTCCTCCATATGGATTCAGGATCCTACCTGGCCTAGAAGTTAGTTTATCACTTGGCTATTGAGACTGCGGCACCTTGGGTTATGCGCAGAAGCAGCAGCCTGGATCTAGCTCTTGATCACTGGAGAATTTAGGCCTGATCCAAAGCCCACTGAAATCAAAGGATGTCTGTGCATTGACTTTTATGGATTCTGGACAAGGCCCTTAAAATCAGCTGCAAAGACTGGATCAGTGTTCTCATTAAAGAATACTTAAAAACAATAGGCTGGTGAGGTTGTTTGCTTCTCAAGGATACATGTGACCTTTAGTTATTCCAATAATTTCTCTTCTAGTCTTGAACCATTTTTTAAGGATAACTTGGTTAGATTTCTAGTCTGCTTATTGTATCGTTATTTCAGTTGTGTAAATACTATCCTATTTACTGTGTCAAACTGTTTGTGCCTAATACAATTATATGCTTTTTTGCTGATATCTGATGTGCTAATTAGCTGGAAAAATGTTTTGATTGGGGTGACTGGTTGCCCAAATTATTTAATGGTCTCATGGCAAGGCTGTCAGCAAAAAATATGGAAATGAGCCTAGGAAGGTCAGTAAAATTTCACACTAATAGCTCATCAGGTTAGGGTTAGAGCGAGATGAATGGAGAAATAAGCCATTGAATGTGAAGAATGCACGGAAAGAAACTGCTTTTTGTTTTTGCATTGATTTTAATAAAATAACAATGTCACTAATTGCTTACTTAGCCCCTTTTCATCCATAGATCTCAAAGGAGTCATTACCTCTGGGAAAACTTCAGGAAAGGGAGAGAGAAATTGGTTTAAGATCACCTTGTAGCTTGCTGCAAGGAACAGATGTTATGTCTCTTGGTTCCCAGGCCTGTGTTCTGTCCACAGAATTATGCCTCTTCTAGAGCTAGTCTATGTTTTTTATTGTGTTTCTTAGCTTGCTACCCAACTCCTCTGAATTTACTGGTATTTACTGAAGATGGGCCATGGTGGTAGGAAGCTGCAAGGAATTTCTCAGCTAGAGTTTCTTTCTAACCCTGCACAAACATAGCTTGGCATTTTTTCTAATTCAAAATTTGTAGTTTCAGAATGACTTGTTTTTGTTTGAAATGTTTTCTAATTTGACTTGTTTTTTAAAAATTGACTTGCCTCAGTCATGACACTTGGATTGAGATGTAGATCCAACATTTATCATCATAAAGATGCTTCTTATGCTCAACACCAGAGGTAATAAGGGGTACATCACTTTAGGTGATGAGCTTGTCAGATCTATTGGACTAGGCTTGAGGGTAACCTAGGTGAAAACTCCAAGAAAAATCCCTGTTTGGCACAGCAAGGGCTAAGTCAGTTGGTGGTTATCTTCCTCTGTGTCACTACTGCTGCTCTTGGAGGTGCACCTTTTTAGATGAGACACAAAGCTGAGATCGCAATCACTTACCCTCATTAAGGATTCCATGGCAATTTGTGCAAAAGAAGGTCATGGTGCCCTGGCCTCCATGACAACAAAGGAAATTATATTTCCCTACCTTGGATTCCCCTGCAGTTTGCTGGATTTACTATACTTCATTCATTTCCTCCATTAAGATGTTATGCACATCTCAGTACACATTGCACCATGCAGAGAGAGGGGAAAGAATTTTCCTGTTTCAGTGCTAGCAGTTAGTGTTTCCTAAGGGACAATCTCTTTTGGGGCTTCTGTATGCCCACCCCGTACCAGACAGTTCAGATCTCCCTATCCAGAAATAATATATTGTTCTTCCTGGGGTTTATGCACCTCTTCCAATTCCACCCCCACCCACCTGGGTCTGTCAGCCTATCAATAGGCATTCCAGAATGGAAAAAGACCACAGTATCTGAAATAAATATAGCAGAAAGTAGGGGCTGAGACACCTCCAGTCTACCCATCTGCACCAATTAAACAATACTTTAACTTGCAAATCATTTCTCAGGGTCATACATATAATGCCTGTTTAGCTGTGATGCTTTTTCTATTTTTAGCATATTTTACTAATTACAATGGACTTTGGTCTAAAACAAAATACAGGGGAGCTTTGGAATGTTTCCTCCACCTCTCCTTTTTAAGCACAGTATTTTCTCCATATTCATTTTTAGGATTTCAGGACCAGGGACACTAGAGCCTGCTATAGTATATCATTTTCAACCAAGCAGTTGTTTGTGCGTATTATTTTACCCAACAGACATTTCTCT